ACAGTTGGGAGGATCACGACCTAAACCCCCACGATCCTGGTGAGGGTTCCTAATTTCACAGATTTTTTTTCCGTTGATCGGGAAAAAAGTATTGTCTCATGGCCTGTACAATCCAAAACCGAAGACAGGCCGCATTTTACGACAAAAACAATTGATCCGGTCAATCCGTTTTTTGATCTTCAGCAAAACTTTTTTTGATCATGAACAAGTTTTTGATAGTAATTGATGGCCTTTCCCAGTGCAACGGTGTATCCCCATTTGAAAAATGAATAGATAATTGTATCAAACATGCATCAGCTCTCTGCACAACCTGCGGCGCACATGTGTTGTTTGAGGGTACCGACAGGCGCACAAATGAGCGCAAAAGAGCAGAGCAGCGACAGATAGCGACAACCATGACGCATCTTGATGTTGATGAGTGTTTGCAACATGTCATTCCCTGCCCCTGCGGGGGGGACCTCTGAAAGTGCAATCTACACTTCTGAACCCCGCACTGAGCACAAGAAGAAGACGAAAATTTGAGCTTCACTTTCACCCAATCCAAGCTGCCTAAGCTCTTGTGGACAGGTGAGGCAGCTCAAGATGTCCATAGAGTCCAAAGATCGCTATGCATGCTGGGCGGTGGCCCTGGCTTCATGCTACTTCATCATTAGACCGCGCAGCAATGAGCAGCACTGCAGGTGTGCAACCGCGCGCACGAGCGGCAAGAAGAGTCAGGGTCGGAGACCGGGGAGGCCAGGACTAGCACAATTTCCATCGGCATGCCAATTCAAAGTCCATTGTAAAGTCGCTCGCTGGACAGGACTCAGACCACCACGAAGATGAATGTGTCATGATGAGAAGGCCTTGACTTCTGTGTGACATCTAGAGATCCGGAGCTAGGCAGGTGCGGAATTTAAGCGCTGCAGCAAGAATGCTCATACACCGGATAATACCTCCTGCAAGCGATAGATTCCACGATCATGCTCATGCAAACAGTTTCATCATTTGACGTACCACGACTGCCAGAGCGCTTGGAGATGCACTGAGCGATCTTTTGTTCAATGTGCTCGGTGACAGGCGCCTTGTGGAAATGGAGGAGGAGATTCGCTTGCTGACTAATGAAGCAGGTACCTACAACTGCGCAGCTTGTGGTGGTGAAGTCTCAACTGTCACGGTGCGTTGTGGTGCAGGCGTTGCTGGTACGCCAGATGTGCCCAACGCGGCAGCATCCCAATCCCAGGCAGATTTGCAGCTGCAATGCTGGTCAAGCGGAAGATTGCAGCAGCATCAGGCTTCCAGCCACAAGCTTGTGCCTCAGTGAGCTCATGCGGGCATGAAGCGGGGAAGGCGGCGACATCACTTGGCTCAGGTCATGTGCTAGGCTTTCCCTGGAGCCTCCCTCAATCGCGGAGTCACCCATGAGCTAGCTCCTTGGGTCTTCAGCCATCGTAATCCCGCGCATCTCATGCTTGAGAGTGCTTCAGGTCCAAGCTCTACTTCCCGGCCTTCACGCGAGCGTGTGTCCCTCCATCTCAATTTGTGGTGCATTGCAAGGCCAAAGATCAGCAAGGTATGTATGTGCATGTGAGGCCTCATTGCAATTAACAACAATAGTCCGCACAGGGATTCAACAATCCAGACATGTTGACATGGGTTTGCCGCTCCCGTGAATGATCCCTGCGTGCATTTCAAGCAAGGCCCACTCCCTGGGCAGAGGTGGGGAAGTTGTCTGAGGGTTGACAGGCCATTGATGAGTCAATGAATATGAGTTCTGGTTTACGCAGGCAGGAGCAGCTGCTGTCGCTGAGGTCTGACTGGAGCGTCCACGTGCTGTCCATGTGATGGCAGTGGGGGAGAACAATGTTCAACCATGTTTATCCTAAGCAGGTGTCCGTGCAGTTCATGGACTCCGTGGTGACAGTCACTTCACCGGAAGTGCCAGAGAGCGTTCCAGAGGCCATGTGTTTTGATCCGACCCACTTGCACAGACTAGGGGCTACATTCCAAAAGGTTTGGATTTTACGATATTTTACGTGTTCAAAAATCAAACTTCTCTAAAACATAAGTCCTTTAAGTCTCGTCTCACTTGCGCCGAATGTTGTGCCCACGGCCAGAATGGCTTCAGTAGTATGTAACTGTAAACTCTATCATGCACCCGCCGTACACCACGCTTGGGCTAGGCGGGGTCCAAGAAATGCTCACCAGCCCCTACTCGCAAGCTCTCAAGCCTTTGAAGTCCTGGAATTTCATTGTTGTTGCGTTGGGCTTGACTGGGCCGCCCATCACGGGAAGGGGGGAGTTGCTACGGGTTGACAGAAGCGAGGAGTATTTCAGGATGCAGCTATAGAGGGATGGTGCAAGTAGGCCATGAGTTGCTTGAGTGGACTGGTTTTGCTTTCCCTTTCCATCCCCTTGCTGCTTTGGCGGGATTTTCACAGAAGCAGATGTCCGTTTACAGAGAAGTTTCATAGCATGCGCAAGCTGTTGACACCACGGCAGGTTGGCAATCGGTCGGTTCGCGATCGCATCTCAACACCACACGTCAGAGCAACGCTGAACGACTCTGAGGCCAGAGACAGCGGCACCAGAGCCACTAAGCAAAACTGACTGGCACCTTCTGGACTGTAACTCAATGTTGCTCTATGCGAATCCTTTCGCGTCTGCAGGAGCGCAGGGTGCTTCTGGCGCCGGTCTTGTCGACCGTAGAGGACCATGAGGGTATCTTGGCAACGACTTCTTTGTGCGCCTTCCGCCCAGTGTCTCCCTGTCGCATTTGCTTTCTGATCTTTCAACCTTCCTTTCTGATACGTGCCAGATCATTGCCTTTGTTTGCTTCATGCTTCTGGCTTTCTGCGTGTTTTTTCTACATTGGCTTTGTGCCTGCTGCTTTCTGGCTCAGGCTTCCAGTTCTTCATGACCTTGGTGTGTATTCAATTCATGTTGCCCGCTGATTTTCATTTGTCGCATGTTGCCGTGGGTGATGTATTGTTGCTTCACATACGACTGTAAGCGGGCCTCCAGCCTTGCCGTCAAGTAGTGCAATCGTACTGTGATCGTGGATTTGCAGTTCCATGGACGGACCCAGGATCACCTTCAAACAGAGCAACGTAGGATTCTTTCATCACGCTAAATACATCAGAGAAATATGGTCTGGAGCTTGATGTTGTCGACAGTTGCTTGGATGCTCGGTTGAAAGGTGTTGAAAGCACCTGGCTGCGCCATCCTCATAGCTGTTGTCGCAGGTTGAAAATTGCAACTTTGACAGCCTTAATTGGCTCGACGTTGCCCAGAGAGAGCATGCCGATACCATCCTTGAACTAAGAAGTGTTTGACATGCCCTGCAGTGCTTTACATAACCGCTTCAATTTCTTGACCAAGAGCTTTGAAACCTTTGAGAATGAGGTCCTGAGTGAAAGCATTCTGAGGCTTGGCCTGCTTTTCTTGATGCAGAGGGGCCGATTTTTAAGCTTTAGCTACCGTTCACGCTTGCTGTGAAGGCATTGCGCGATCCGCTTTTGTCAGTTGACATTAGCGGCTCCCTGAAATCGTGGGCAGGGTGTATGATTTGGATGGTTCCGTATTGTTCCGTCCATTGGAGGCAACCCTTCAAAGAATGCATCGCGGCCACTTTGAGATACAAACCGTCGCGGTTGGATCCATCTTCAGGTTGAACCTGGACATTAGCGCTTGGGAGGGAGAAATCATAATTGAAATTGACAACCTCTGGGGCTAAAGGTGGTCGAGGCGTTCACGCAGGGAAGCTTGCAGAGGCTCAGAAGCAACTCAAGTTCAGCAAGTCCAGACAGCTCAGGGCACCACGATTACGCAATGGACGCCGAATCCGGCAGCTCGAAGACTTTCACTTTGCCCGTCGACCTGTCCAAACTTGTGATAAAGAAGTCTGGCCTTTGTCATATCTGTGATGAGGGAGAATGCCCATCCAATGGCAGGATCAATCCAAAGTTGGCTTACCGCATGTAACTTTCACATATTGGTTCCTTTCGCGCTCACTCTCTTTTGCTGACAGTGCTGCTGGGCCCAGTTTTGTCGACTCTACGTCCATACCGCTGTTCACTGCTCTCAATCAGGCAGCAGCAAAAATGCCACGTACATTGCTAAATGTTATTCCTGCCTGTCATTACCATTGATATCCGTTGACCATTCCCTGTCCACACATTCTGGCATATGTTGAAACATCGTCAGTTTCTTCTGAACCACTTCACTACTTGTTTCCATGAAGAGACAAGGCACAAGAGCAATGCATTTGAGAGATCACGGGGGTGACTTGGAGTCTTCGTGGCCATCTTTGCCAGTCACTGCTGAGAGCCATGATTTTTTTGCTGGTTGCAGTTTGCTTGCCCTTGCATGCCGAAGACCGCATCTGTTCAGCGTTTGTAGACATGCGTGGGATTAGCTTTTTTGCCTCCATTTCCGTCATGCACAAACGCGTGAACCGGAGGGGATTGGGCCAGATTTGAGGGGCGTGGGGCCTCGTTCGTGGTATCGAGAAAATTTGTCTGGGCTATTGCGATTTGTCAGTGAGTGTTGCGGGAGGATGCGGGAGGTATTTGCTACAACCCTAAACAAACCTTTATATCACCGTTTAAAGGGTGGTCTCTTCAAGATTCCTAAGTAAGCTGTTGTTGGTTCATGGCCTGCAGATGTCTGCAGGAGTTTGAAGCAGAAGGTCTTGGTGGGCCTATGAGGCCAAGCCGAGACAGGACGTGCCTGGAGATGTTAAGTGATGTGCTGTGAAAGCATGTGCTGGGCCCTGCGCTGAGAGGATGCCAACGCCGCATGTGAGTTCTCAGCTGATTGAGGAGACAGTGCTGCCACCGATTAAGATTCAAAAAGCATGCAGCCTGGCAAGGATACATTGCCAACCTCGGCCAAAGTTGTTCGAATTCTGCCTGCTGAGGTTGGGAAGGGTAGATTAGATGGTTTGAGTATTGTGACGGTTTGTCCTGCTGCAGGCCCCAGAGCAAAGCAGAAATGCTGGCCAACGAGCGGCAATTGCAATGGATTCCAGTCACGATAGAAGCATCAGTTTCAGTGCTCAAGTGGAGGCAGTGGATGCGGCCAGTAGAGCGTGCTTGGGACCTGCGCGAGATATTCGGGAAAGGACACCTACAGGCTTTATCCAGGATGTTCAAGTTGATGCGGACGAGAAGACCGTGAAGTTTGGCAGCGACGTATCGTTTGTACCAGCAGCCAGCTCCCCGGCATCTCCGGAACAGGCAAGAAGCGTTCGAGAGCGAACACCCACCGGATTCATCGTTGAAGATGCTGTGATGGCACAAGCTGACGAGAGAAATATCAGCTTCAATGCCCAAGTGGAGGCCGTGGACGCGGCCAGTAGAGCGTGCTTGGGACCTGCGCGAGATATTCGGGACAGGACGCCTACAGGCTTTATCCAGGATGTTCAAGTTGATGCGGACGAGAAGACCGTGAAGTTTGGCAGCGACGTATCGTTTGTACCAGCAGCCAGCTCCCCGGCATCTCCGGAACAGGCAAGAAGCATTCGAGAACGAACACCCACCGGATTCATCGCTGAAGATACTTTGATGGCACAAGCTGGTGAGAGAAACATCAGCTTTAGTGCTGAAGTGGAGGCAGTGGATGCGGCCAGTAAAGCCTGCTTGGGACCTGCGCGAGATATTCGGGACAGGACGCCTACGGGCTTTATGCAGGATATTCAAGTTCATGTGGATGAGAAGACGGTGAAGTTTGGGGGTGATGTTTCGTTTGTACCAGCAGCCAGCTCCCCGGCATCTCCGGAACAGGCAAGAAGCATTCGAGAACGAACACCCACTGGATTCATCGCTGACGATGCTGTGATGGCACAAGCTGGCCAGCGAAACATCAGCTTTAGTGCTGA